GGCACAGCGCTTCCTGGGGTTCCTGGTGAGGCTGAGGCTGTGGACAGTGAGATGGGCAGGCACAGTGCTTCCTGGGGTTTCTGGTGAGGCTGAGGCTGTGGAGAGCTGCATTTCTGATGGGCAGGCACAGCGCTACCTGGGGTTCCTGGTGAGGCTGAGGCTGTAGACAGTTGAGATGGGCAGGCCCAGTGCTACCTGGGGTCCCTGGTGAAGCTAAGGCTGTGGACAGGTGCATTGCCGATGGACAGGCACTGTGCTACCTGGGGCTCCTGGTGAGGCTGTGGCTGTGGACAGTTGCATTGCTGATGGGCAGGCACAGCGCTAACTGAGTTTCCTGGTGAGGCTGAGGCTGTGGAGAGCTGCATTTCTGATGGGCAGCCATAGCGCTACCTGGGGTTCCTGGTAAGGCTGAGGCTGTGGACAGTTGCATTTTTCATGGACAGGCATAATACTACCTGGGGTTCCTGGTGAGGCTGAGGCTGTGGACAGTTGCATTTCTGATGGGCAGGCACAGCCGTACCTCGGGTTCCTCATGAGGCTGAGGCTGTGGATAGCTGCATTTCTGATGGTCACGTATATTGCTACCTGGAGTTCCTGGTGAGGCTGAGTGTGTAGACCGTTTAGATGGGTAGGCATAGTGCTACCTGGGGTCCCTGGTGAGGCTGAGGCCTTGGACAGTTCAGATGGGCAGACGCAGTGCTACATGGGTTTCCTTGTGAGGCTGATTTTGTGGACAGTTGAAATACGCAGGCATAGTGCTGCCTGGGGTTTCTGGTGAGGCTGAGGCTGTGGACATTTGAGATGGGTAGGCACAGTGCTACCTGGGGTTCCTGGTGAGGCTCAGGCTTTGCACAGTTGCGTTTCTGATGGGTTAGCATAGTGCTACCTGGGGTTCCTGGTGAGGCTGAGGCTGTGGACAGCTGCATTTCTGATGGGCAGTCCTCATGCTGCCTGGGGTCTCTGGTGAGGCTCAGGCTGTGGATAGTTGTATTTCTGATGGGCAAGCACAGTGCTACCTGGGCTTCCTGGTGAGGCTCAGGCTGTGGATAGTTG